TCCACTTTTTCAGACACTAAGCCATGTACTAGATGCTCGGGGGCAATCCAGCCCCCGAGACTTCCAATACTTCCAATTTTCTTCGTCGTTCCAATGACAGCCTTCGCTCCAAAAACAGCAAGCTTTGCCGTCCATTCGGAGTCAAGAAGATATTTTTGCTATTTATGTTCATGTGTGTATAAGGTGGAATAGTGCAAAAGTGCAAGTAATGTAACCCTCTGGCAATGTCAAAGGCAATTTGAGTTCTTTTATGCCAACTAAGAGAAGCTAAGGAGTTTGACAAACAATCCCTTAATGTTCCATTTGATGAATATTCAAACACAAGATAAGATCCTGAAATGTCATCCTCGCCATAACAAACACCTCGAAGGTTAACAATATTGACATGATTGATTCTTGAGTGTACATCAATTACTTGTTTTGTGTCCTCAAATCTTATTTTCTTGATCAATACTTCAGCATTATCAACACAACCCTTGTATACATTGTCACTTATCTTAGTTCCTTCACTAAAATTATCCGTCGCTCTTTTCAATTCATCTATGTTGTACTCCCCCAAAGAGTACTTTATTACTGCAAGTAAATCAGGTGATAAGCACGAATTCGTGGAACTTCTAGTAGTCGTTGGAGGGGAATTTCTTGGTGTTGAACCTGAAGTAACAGAGCTTTTATGTATCGAAGAACGATTTTTCTCTGCCTTGAATTTCCTTATGGCCCTTATATATAAACCACAAGCAACTAAAGTTGCAGCAAACAGGAAAAAACCAACAGCTGACACTGAAATGTAAAGTTTCTTTAGTTTCAGGTTTTTGGATGATTTTTCTACCATTTGTGTTGGTAAAAAATCAGGAGTAGGAGAATCAGAATCATGTATGCTGAAATTAATAGAGGGTTCTCCTCTCAAGGGTACTAAAATTGTTGTATTTGAAAATACAGTGGGATTAAAACTTAAATGGTTAGCACCCCATATATCTTCAATAAAAATATTGAATTTTTCACTTACTTTTCATGTATCATCTCCTGAAATAAAAGGGTATGTGATAAGGTACTTTAATCCAACATCAAAAAATTTACCAGGACATGCACATTTCAAAGGCATTAGCAACTCTGTACCAGCTTTGATATCATAATTGACATCAGAAATATTGGTTTTCTTGGAAATATTTTCCTCCAAAAGTGTAATGGATTTAACTAAACCTTCAAAAACTCCACAAGCAACGTCGTCGAATTTTGTGTTTGTAGGTGAACGGTAGCTAATATTAGCTTGAAAGGATTCACCTAAACAAGAACATTGAATTGGAACAATTACCTCTCTACCAATTTCAAGAATCTGCGACGACGAAGTGACATTGTTTAAGGTGAGTAGTACATCAGGAGAAAAACCAAACAAGTAAGAAACATCAGATATTGTTGTGAAATCTTGATTAGTTCTATAGATCAAGAATGTTTGACAAGAATCATTTAGAGAAGTACAAGTATATCTTGTACCTGGAGAACTGATATTAGAAAAACATGAGGTTGAATCATAGAATTGTTGGCCATAGCTTGAGCTAATGCAGATGCAAATTACTAGAAGCCATTGAAAATTCATGACATACAAATTAAAATTTAGATGGTAAGCATTCTGCTCAAGGATTCTGCTCAAGCATTGAAAATATGTCCAATGAGATTTAATGGCAGGCCATGCAGTGAAGTATATGAAAGGAATGACCATTAATTTTTTATTTATTTCCTTTGCTTTACTATATAGTAATAACAAATTGTGACTGAGTTGGTAATGGAAATTTTATATGAAAGGCAACATTAGCAGCCGGCCATTTTGTATCCAACTGTTATCTACGACTACTAGTAATTGGTAAGTAGACGGAAAAAAAAAGATGGAATATTTTCTGACGTTTGTGATGGAGCCTGGATATGTTTCTAGATGATAAGAGTGACATAGCTCTTTCCTTATACAATAATCCGAGTCAATAATTCGGTATAACCTA